TTAAATAACGTTATTAATTATGTTAAATTATAATTCAAATTTATTTTTGTTCTATTGATAATTTAACAGTCCAATTTATTTATTCATTTTAAAAATGCATTCACCTATAGTCTATTAGTATATTATTATATAGAACTATAGAAGCATAGGCATATACTATACCAATAGTGAAATAAATTTATAAATGACATTTCATAGGATATATTTTTAAGTAAATCAATAATCACATTATTGACTGTTTTGCTATTATGAAAACCATAACATACTAACATAGTAGCTACTACCTATTGATTGAAAAAAAACATACAACTTATATTAATTACTTAATATTTTCTAAAATACTATAATACAAATATACAATATTTGATTTATTTTAGTCTTCTTTAATTTCTTAATTAAGTCTTTTAGTCTATACAAGATTACAAACAGGTAGAAGCATAACAAATAAAAATTTTAACAAAAAGCAAAACAATACAATAGATTTTTAACTTAGGTAATAAACTAATAACTTATAAGTCTAACAAAATTAAAAAAAAATTATAATAACAGCACCTTTTGTCAGATAACAATAACAATTTAAAAAAAAAATCTTTAACTCTTTATGTAATAAGTTTAAAAAAAAAATAATAATAACTTTTGTCAGATAAAAATAACAATTTTAAAAAATAACCTTTAAGTTAAAAGTTTAAAAAAATAATAATAACTTTTGTCAGATAGTACATAATCTGATAACAGAGTAACAGACTATAAACATTTTTAAAAACTAATATAATATATAGAATTATAAATTTATAATATGCAAACATGAAACAACTATTAAGTATTAATAATTAGTTATTTGTTTAAATGTTTAAATATGGTAATCAGTTTTCCTGCTTTTTGAATTCCCAATCGATTTCTAACTTTTGAATAAATGAACCCAAATGTTGAGAGTACTGCACTAGATGCAACAGCCGAATGCAGTTGCATATTTAAGGATAACATTTTTTCAGAAATATTATTTCTTAATGCTAACCACCATGTTATACTAGAAGTATTATTTAAAGCATTATTGGAAAAAAGATAGTCTTTAAACGGGGTTGTCTGAGCTTTAAATTTTAAAATTTCAGACATAATTTCAAGATGGTACTCTAATACATAATTCATTCCTTGGTCCATTTTTCCTCATTGAGATGTTGACCTTTATACTTTGGATCAAGTATATTGGCCAAATAATGGCATGGTGTCATAGCCATGTCATAACGTTTCGTAAAATGTTGAAATGTAAATTGATCAATTTTACAGTCTTGGAGCAATATTTCAAATTGATTTCTCAAATCAATCCACACTTCACTTACTTCACTAAGAGTACATTTATTGCTTTGAGTTTTATCAAGAGCAACAGATATTTTTTTTCAATATTTCCAAGTGTCCTTCTGCATTCGATTTGATTTGTAAGTCATTTGCTTTCCTTGTTATGCTTGTATCAATAGCTGACCTATTTTCTTGACAGACATTAACTAAGATGGGCCAATTAACAATATATGATTCTAGACAATCACAATATGTGTTCCATCTTACATCTAATGGTAGAACGAGTGACTTTCCTCCAGCTTCTTTATACTTGGCACTGGCAAAGTGTGTATTTCTGCATATTTCTTAATTAAATGATAACAATTTTTTTTTTGTTTTAAAACATGTTTTAAACATGTTCAAAACAATTGAAAAAAACAAAACAATAATTTTGTTTAAAACAAAAAAAACAATGGACATTAATAAAAAACTGTTTTTTTGTTTAAAATGAAAAAAACTGTTTTTTTCCAAACCCTGGTTGCTATAGAAGTGTAGTTGTCTGATGGATTGTACGATGATGTTTAATATTTAATTATTTAATTATAGGCTTATATATTTTAATAGGAGTTATTTGAGTACTGCTGCTTGCTAAAAAAAAATGGTCAACATATCAATGATTATTATTAAATAATCAAAAGAAAATATTTGGTGCCTACATATAATAGATAATTCAATTCAGAAATATCAAAGTTAATTATTGCATAAATAAAATATATAAGCTTATATAGTTCTACACATAAGAGGTACTATATAACATAAACTATATATAGTGCAGACGTACTTACATTAAATGCATTACCACAACAAATTAAATTTGTCATTGTAGAAAACTAAGGATCTGTACCTATATCTCATATTTTTATTTTATTCACCTGGATATCCAGATTAATAGGTTCAATACTTCCACCACTAAAACATACATATAAAATATATACATTAGCCATTATCTCAAAAGAAATTAACATAAAAATAGGAATTAGATGGCCCATTTACCAATTTATGTACCCAGTTCTGAATTTCAAATCATTTAAAAATAAAACAAGCAACAAATGTAATAAAGCATGTAATTTTTTTCAGTGTAGGGTGACAGCAGCTCAATAGATTAATTAACAGTCATTATCTGTTGCTCTTATGATACCAACATGTCAGGCATAAACACATAATTTTTGCATTAATATGTTACAAGATACTTTATTTATAAAATGTATTTTATACTTGACAATTACAAATTAATAGACAGATAATGACATATTTACCCTGTTCCAAAAGAGAAGACACCAGATTTATGTAACAAAACCGATTTTTCCCGTGGCCGCCTGGTGACCTGGTGTCTTCTCTTTTGGAACAGGATATAGAAATAGGTAGGGAAAATATTGAGAATTGATTTGACATGTTTTCATGTTTTAAATCAAGACTAATTACTTAAATATTTTAATAAGAATGACATATACTCTGTCCAGCGAGAGAACGTGCCGCGCACCGACCAAAACTGGTTCCCCCACACAACACTCTGCCATAGGGGAACCGGTTTCGATAGCAAGGAGACGCGGGGAAATGCGCAGAATCGGCCCGTTCTCTCGCTGGACAGAGTATAGGTAGATATCATTATTTTTACAAAATATGTTAATATGGGGAAAACTCAATGTTAATGTTAATAACTGTATAAATATCAAATACATTATTATGTACCTATATTTTATATCAGAACTACTTAGATGTGAAGAAATATTCTATAAATTAGGAACTTAGATACTTCCCTGTTATACGAGATTACCTTGTTTTTTGACAAGATCATAATCCTGTCATCTAAGACTACAAAAATGGTACTTTTTCTGTTTTAAGCGACTACAGCTATTATAGCAACTACCACCTCAGCCTACCTCCGTTATCACAAATACCACAATAGCTGAACTTGGAAAGTGTGCAAATTTTGGTAGTCATAGTAACAGGATTGTGATGTTTTACAAAGCAATCGGGGTTGTCGTGATAACGGAGGTAGTCTTAGGTGGTAGTCGTGATAATAGGTGTAGTCTCATGTAACAGGAAAGTACCGGAACTTAACAATAAATGTGTGATTATTATTTAAGATCCTAGTAGCATGTATAATATAGGAGATTATGTCAATATTAAATATCTATTGGTGGTGTTTCATTTTCTAAATATCAGTAATATTTATAAATTGATTTATAAGTAATAATAGTTACATTTATTTTTTTAATGATGTAGATTGGTTATTGAGTTTGATATTTTATAATACAATACATTGATATTTAAAGTGTATCATTGCCCATTAAGACAATATTTTATTTTTCTGTTATTCAATAAACATATTTCATTGTAACTAATATGTTCTACAGTCATACCAGATGATTATATTTTTAATGGCAACTCATTATCTCAGTCAAAAAAATGTTTTAACACCATTTAAAGTAATAACTGACACTTAATATTACAATACCATTATAAAAAGTTATTATAATTGTTTTTTTAATGACACTTAACACATTTTATTTTATATTTTGATGTAAAATACTTTTCTAAAATTGTTTATATGCTTGTACAATAAACACCGAATTTAATTGATACATAAATAAGTATAAAATACAAAGTAATGAAAAATAATTTTTCTTAATTTGCTTACTACTATTTATTAGAATGTCAAAACCAAATAAAAAGAAATATTAAAAACAACATCTCCGAACTTCATGTTTGTTAACTGGTTTGGGAAATGCCTTGACTGCCATTATCTTTTGATCACCTGGTCGCACACCCTTTTCTGACAACATAAAACCTAAATAAGCTACTTCCGGGTAACCAAAGTAGCACTTACTCAACTTTAGTGTTAGCTTCGCCCCTTTTAATGCCTCTAGTACCTGTTGTAATCGGTTTAGCATATCTGGTATTGACGTAGAAGGCACAAGAATATCATCGAGGTACCACATGGCCACTTTGTCCTTCAGTGGATGTAGTACACGTTGCATCAATCGAGAGAACTCATATGGAGCATTGACTAGTCCGAACACCATCCTTTCAAATTGGCCAGACTCGCTAGGCGTTATAAAGGCAGTTTTCTCTTTGGCAGATTCTGATAACGGTACTTGCAAATAACCCGACGCAAGGTCCAATGTTGTAAACATTTTTGCCCCCTGCAGTCGTTCTAAATGTTCATCAAGATTAGGTGTAGGAAATACTTTACGTAACGTCTGCGAATT